AAGATTGAAGAACATTTTCAAAACGTAGAGGTAAATCGGCAAGTTTATTGCCTCGTTTGTTATAATGATTGTGACTATGACTGAGTATATAAGAGCTGCATTCACCATATTTCACTTAAGGTGATGGGGGATGGTAGCGGACATTTTATACAATGATAAGAGTAGGCCTCATTTTCCATTAAAATTCACATAGTCTTGCTTCTCACAAGATGATCTTATCCAGTGCGGACTACAATGATAACCCCACCTAGGTATCCTCAGCAAGCCCAACAGGACTCAAACCAGGGTAGTGGAACTTATAATCTCAACACACAAATCACAACGCCACAATGCTCTTGTGTCACATAGCATAGGTTGACTTTAAGAAAGGTTGAGCCTTTCCCATATCACATTCCTGTGATGGGATTGTGGATGGAGCAAAGTTGTATCGTAATCAAGTACATTATTTACTTTCAGTTTATAAGTAGATTTTCAAAATCTGATATGAGCAAGGCTTAGGCTTCCTTGCAATACACTTCTCTCCTGTGGCTCAAGGGCACTCGTAGCAGTGTGGCTTAGTGGTTAACGTATGGAAACCATACGGTGCAATATTCAAGTACGAGTCCAGTTAGATTGTTCATACCCAGGCGAAGTCGAAACTTCAGTCCGCCTTGAATGAAAATACCTAATTGGAAGAAAGGCTATGTGAAACACAAGGCCTATATATAACATTGTTGGAAAATTTAACAATTTGTCCTTTAACACGTTAAACAAAATATCGTGAATGAAGATCATATCAAATCTACTGTAGGTCTCAAAAACCTATTTACTAACAGAAAATAGCTATCATCATGTTTGCCATGCTTTAACCATAACCAGAAGAGGTTATTTCGGAGACTGCATCTACCAGAACGTATCAGTAAACATGGAGACAATTGGCCAACATGAATCTGCCATCGTCTTTCGCTAATTTGACCTTCATATGAGACGTAAGTAAGCTAAACAAGTTATGATAAAGTGATTCGTAGTATAACAAGTTTGCTTTGAACGTCATAGATGGCAAACCATGCCCCCTCGAAACTGATTGTATCAGGGACTTAATCATTCAGCTCAGGCATCGCAAAGTACTTTTACAATCTTATTCTTGAATACTTTATAGCTATGAGAAACCAACATAGGCGAGAAACTATACTGGATTTTAAAGGCAAAGAGGTCAGTATGACTATAAGAAAGATATTTATGTTAAGACTATGTTATGTCTGCCTAGAGAGCAATCACCTTGGCCTCACAGCCTTGCATTAAAATTGCCTTTATCTCTTTTCGCCTAGATAACATGATACATTGTAGTAGCAGCCCTTATTGTCGTTTTCTTATGTAATTACATATGGTAGCTGACACATCTGCTAACCTAATGTTTTAGTGCATCTACAAAATCAAATCCAGACTAGCTGAATGATTCGATAATTTGCGATTAAGTTAAACCTCATAAGTCGTTTCAAAGCCACATAGGGAAAATCCAACTCTGAAATACAATTATATGAATCTATAGATTATAGTGACTCACAAGGCTTAGCATTTTTAAATAATAAATGTGAATTAAGAATACGAACAATACCATTCTTGACAGATGGCTCCAGAGATTCATCGGAGAAGATTGAGGTATCTGAAATGGAGGAGTTTCCACCGGCCGTCTGGCGTTTGTTGACCGCCATTTTGAGACGCAAATACATTCCTGATTGGCCCGCCAGACTACCAGACAGAGAAGAGTTCGAAGATGAGGAGGAGGATGTAGACGAAACACTGGTCATTGAATGTGTCTTTGGTGAAATAATTGTGGGAGAGGTCAATGAAGTGGAAATAGCCGAGTGAATTGATGAGGACGAGACGGAGGCATCGAGGGCGCGTGAAGAGTGAGGATATGGAGAATCTGTAGGTAAGGTGGGAATAGGAGTGGAGACGGCAATGGCGGTGATGGTACTAGATGAAGGCACTAAGTTTGACCAGGGTACAAGTGGATCAGTTGCAAGACATGGTTGAATGGGCGAAGAACTCACTGGAAGTGAGCCAGATAAAAACAGAGAAGTGGCTGATGAAATAGTCTGGTTGAGTGGGGTTGAAGACAAAGAGGAAATTTCTGTTATGGTCTGGGTGGAAGTTAAACTCAAGCCTTCCGAGGAGATAGTTGTTCTTGGAGCAGGATTGGATGTATTGTGACCAGACAAATCAATGCACGTTTGTGGAGGAACGATCTCATTTAGACATCTAAAAAGGTAAATAGGAGAGAAACGAAATATGAGAACTAGGAGTATCGGATAAAAAGTAAAGTGAAATGTATAAGAAACGCTTAAAAATTAGGATAAAAAGAAGAAAGAACATCACTGAAATTTAGTTTTAAGACCAGTGACAAAAATCGGCAGATTGATCTTTTATGTATTGATAATCAATCATTGTCTGATGCATTTATAAGAAGACTTGTTTTTGCGGCAGAACTTTACTATAGTTTCTTAATTAGGGTTGAGTGGTGTGTAGGACAAGACTTTCAATAAATGCGCAAGTTCTTGGTCGAGTGAAATACTTGAAACAGGGAGATAGCAGACGGATTCTACGGGGCAAGAGGGAGACTCTGATAAGACCTAGAGAAGGAGGACTGCGTAACAATTTGGCAGATTCTGATCAACATTCCCAGCACAAGGGTGAAGGAGGGGTGAGAACGCCAGCGAGGATTGTGGATGGTTTTCATGAATGCCACTCAAAGGAGCGCACCACACCACATGTAAATAAGCACGGTAAAAAATGTAACAGTGAAGGCGTGATACGAGGATATAGGAAACGTAAATAGCCCAGGACAGGAGATCATACCACATCTGCTTAGCATACATTTGGTCAAAGTATCAGGTTCACTTGTCGATTTGACGAATTGTGGTGCTAAGAATGGCAATACTCACTGACAATGCCGACTACGATGCCGGCGAAACGTCTGGGAATGTACAACGTCCAAGATCCGACTTTGGAAATGATCATGCATACAATAGACTCCGAGCTAGGTGGGTCCCTTAAGTCTTCCTACCAATATGACCAAGTTGCGAAAACAAGGTCAAACAACCTCAATATACCGAGAAGATGGAATATGTTCTACGAGACAGGACTATATATCTAGTAAAAAAAGAAGGACCCAACTATGAAGAACATTGGAATCTTAAATGACAATCTCAAAGATATGCATAGGAACAGGCAAATTGGCACATTGACACGAAATTCAATCATTAGAAAGAATGCACGATCACCAATAGCCTATAGATTGCCGAAGATGCAGAAAGGTGAGCCACTAAGGCTGATAGCTAATAATAAGTATGGAGCAAAGCACCAATTGGCAAAATTCATGTTTAAAAATCAATAAAATTAGATGCGAGGCTATCAAAACAGGGTGAAGCATTCGTATGAATTTACTCAAAAAATAAAAAAAATAAAAAACATGGCATTAAAAGAAACAGACTTATTGGTAAGCTTTGATGTGGAATCCATGTATACAAATATCTCTTGAGAAAATGCGCTAATAGCCCTGCTGGAAATCCTGGACACAGAGGAGGATAAGGATAAAGAGGGAGTCGTTAACACGACTAATCAACTTGACAATAGGGACGACCTATTTTACAATTAACAGGATCATTCATGAACAAATATTGGGACTTCCCTTGAGATCGCGGCTCTCACATTTGGCAAACGTATACATGAACAAAATAGTAGAGAACTTTAAGATGCCACCGCTACAACCAGCAGTGCTCATGCGGTACCTGGATGATTATTTCGCACTTTGGTCACATGGAAGAGTTTCTGAATTTTATGGACCAGATTAATGAAAAAATTAAATTCACGATGGAAGTAGAGGAAGGTGAGCGGTTACCGTTCCTGGACGTTCAAGCTCTAATGGGACGCTCAAAAAGAATTTGTTCAGAAAAAAGTCCTATGCGGGGATAATAGTCAATTTCCGGCCTCATCACAATTACAGGCTAAAGATTAGAATAATGAGGAGTATAATCATCCGAAGCCTACACTTAATGGATGTGGAATTCTAGGACGAGGAGTTGGACAAATTGACTAGGATATACCTCGGGAACGACTACCCAGGCGAAGTTATATAAAGAAACCTATGAGCCGTGAAAAGCCGATGGCAGAGCGGGGACTACGAAAGAACATTAAGGATGGAAAAGGATTCACAAAAGTGGATATGCCTACTTTATTGTGAAATAACTCAAAAACGAAAGCCAATATTAAGGAAATGGAATATTTTAGTCGCCATGAAGGAAAAAACAACACTTTTCACAAGTCTACCGAAGCAACCTGAAAGAGTTTACTGTTTATGCGGCGCCTACGAACAAAAATATATTGGCGAAACAGGGAGAAAAATTAGTATACGAATCAAGGAACATCAAACGCTCTGCAGGAAAGTGGATACTGAAAGATCAGAATTAGTGGAACACATCCCACAGAATGAACATGAGATGAATTAGAAGGCAACAGAAAGAACGGCTTCATATGCTGAAAGCACAAGGAAGCGGAATATTAGGGAACCCATTGACATCCTTGGGGAGAAAATTCTAATGAACAGATTGGAAGAAGATAGAGTTAGCGATAACTTGCCTACTACTTAAGGAAACTCGAGAAGAACGACCGGAGGAAAAGGGATCGCGATGTGAAAAGAGTACGCGGGAAGTTTCGGCAATCAAGCGAAGACGTTGTTGGTAAGTGATGTCTGTTCAAAGAAATCAGTACAACTTTGGGAGCCTGGTAGTCAGGGAACTAGGCTGACGGATAAGCAAACCGTAACAGAAATTCGGAGCTTGAGATGTCACATTCGACCAGAGATAGGCGTCCACAGTTTGCTCAGGTAACACGGGTTTAATCAAGGAGACGAACCGTGAAGGCAATGCATGATATCTGCAGGCATAGGAATCAGAGCCTAGGCGCTCTGTTCAGTGAGGCGGCAGTGTACGTTGTTCTATAGCCTTGAGAAATAGCGCATAAAGTAGAACGCACACTGGGACTGGAACCGAGTTAAATCGATCAACCAGAAAATTAAAGGAACAGATCTACGGGACCATGAAGGAGATTTGAGTCAGATTAGCCGATCGAAATAGGGAGTAATGATGAAAAGGTGTGATAAGGCCACGCTAAATTTTGCAAAAAAGGCATGCACTTTGACGAGTGGAAGGTAAACAAGTCAGAACTTGTGATAAGGCGGGAGTTGGATAAAAGGGTAAAGAGTTGATAGATGGGCCATTACTTAAAGAGGATAGTGTAATCGTTTTCGGCGAAACGTTGGTCGAGGGATTGACTTCACTTGTCCCTTTGACGAGTCCGTAACTTGGTGCGGAGAATGACAAGACTCACTGATTATGCCGACCACGATGCCGGCGAAATGTCTGAGAATGTACCAAGTCCACTATCTGATACTGGGAATTATGATAACTACTATGGCACAGGACTTTGGATAAGGTGCGTTCTACTAAGTCGCCCTGACAACAAGACCAAGCTGCGAGAACGAGGTCAACCCACTTCTAAAAATTATCCAGTTTATCTTCTTCGGTGATCATTATCGTAAGATTAAATTTAGAACATATGTGCGTGTACAAATCGAGTGTTTTCAAGTGGGCTTTAAATGAATTATAGAAATTACAGATACCTAGACAGATGTAAGAGTAAATTTTAACCTACTAATATGGCGTTGCAAAAAAATCTCAGCCAACTTTTTAAATTAATAAATGTTCAAAATGCAAGCTCAACGGAACTCAAGGCACTATATTGCGTTAAAAGGCATATAAAATTAAAATAAACTAAAAAAGTAACGAATATAGTAAATTATTAATCCAGAGGTATTCTAGACTAAACATCTATAAGGTTCAGTTGTGATTAAGCGCTTATTACAGTAAAGAAGATCGTGTTTGACTATCGATTCGTACCTTATGATATTCCCATGGCTTCCCTGGCTTTCACTCCATTGTATAGCAATTACCCAAGTCCAAGCAAGGTTGCAAAGGTTTGCCAATAAACCAATTTTTAAGAAAATCATGAGAATATATGAAATAATTAAATACTAATAATATTAGTATTTAAATACGAGCTACTAAATGCCCATAAATGATGATAAATAAGCTTTTTCTGTATCTCTGACGAGAACGGCTTAATTTGTTAAAGAGCCCAAAAGAATACCCACTGTCTTTGAATTAATTAACCTCGCTTGAGACGATAGTGAGTAGGTTAAATTTACAGTAGTTATTGAATAATAACTTTAGCCACTTTTCGTCGCTCAAGAGGATAAAGAGGAAAAGGTTAGATAAAGATATAATCTTAGTGCCAAAACGTTTATTTATTGTATAAACTATATAGCTGATAAATAAGCTTCATCTACCTAGGCTATTTTCTTAATAATACTCCTCTATGGGACTCACATTACAAGCTTTGTCTAAATAAGTCAAAACTGGCATACTTCCTGGAGTGTCCAAAAGGCAGATACAAAATAACTGCCAAGTTATAACATCAAAGAAAGGATTCGAAACCATATGCACTAAACTATAATTATTACAATCAATTATCTTCAATTATAATTATTACAATCCATGTGTAAGCAGAGGTAAATAAAATAGCAAAGGGTGTTTTTGAATAAGAGATAGGTCGCTTAAATTCATTGGGACTGATAATGAATTTTCCCACAATAATATGAGTAGGCCTAATGATGCAATTGATTTTCATTTAGCCTTGTCGTGTAAAAGTATCATAATCCAAGTAGAACTTGAGCTTCCACCTCATCTAGGTCTCATCTACAAATAGAGGGGGAATCGAAAGCGGGCAGTACAGATGTGTTACCACTACACCACATTTCCACTAATGTCAATCAGCCAGAGTATAAGTGAATTTTAAAGTAAGCTAAGACACATTATATAGTTGGATTGTTGAAGCAGAAAATACTTAGTTCTAACGTAGCCCCCTTTTAAAATAACCTACCGATACACTAAATATAAAAAGCGATGCGTTCCCCCTATTTGGTTTAAGGTGATGAAGGACTGGTAGTTAAATTTTCCAATAATGATATGAGTAGGTCTTACGTTTACATTGAATTTTACATGAGAACTTCCATGATTCGAGTCCCAATAAGGATGCTGATTAGACCTAGGCGAAGTCGAAACTGTAGTCCATCTTGGAGGATAATAACTTTAGTAAAGCAAAGCATTGTGAAACTCAACAGAAACGATAGGCCTAATCATATCGAAGTGGGAGAGTACAACTACCATCCATTAATCACTACAAACCAAATAAGAAGAAAACAGCTCAAATTTATTATCTAATGGTGATCTCGAAAACCAACTCATAAACGAAAAATAAGAAGAATGAGATTGGTTTAAAATTTCTCAATTATTGCAGTGGAATAATGCAAGTTAAAAGCAAATTCTTCAAGTATGAGATGGAGAACGAGGATATATGTATACCCGTGAGGTATAGAATGTAAATTAGATTTGAAAATATCGTTAAGCCAGATATTTGATAGTATAGAGCCATTATATGAATTGCCTTGGATACAAGACAAGCAAACTTATGTAATAATGGCCGATCATAAATGGCAACTACCGTTTCTCTTACTCTTCTATGACATTCTATTGCGTTCCAAACACCAAATGTGATAATTCTACTTGATTTGAATAGGCTCACTGTATACATCTTCTCTTGGTTTCCGATTATTCCTCTCTAGTCTCCTAGTAATTTCTTTTCTTAAAATTAAAAGTAATACAAATTTTAAGGTTAAACATTTAACCTAATCAAAGCAAGCAGTACCACAACATTTGTGGGTTGACACACAAGAGACTAGAGCATAGGAAGTAATAGACTT